AACTCTTTGATTTTTCCTGTGAGATTCACACTCAACCATTCAAAATATAAACATAGTATACGCGATAGTGAGTCCTGTATACAAACAGTCACATTGTAATTTGATCGACAGAATTCGGTCAACACTCAGAGTTAGATAAATATCACTCTATACGCCACTCAATGAACAATCTATATAACCTTGTGTTTTTTAATCTCTTAATTGAAAAATAGTTGACTGTATTTATTAATTATCTTCACTAAACTCCTGACATTGTCAAAGTATGCAATCGTGAACTCATCTTCTATGACTAAACCAACCTTCTTTTACGGTATAGATATCTAAGAGGTTTATGGGGATTATTTGCTAAACAAATAAGAATTCATTAAAATAATTACATATTTCTGCTTAGTGTCCTGTTTGTCTCTCATTCTTCATAAAGGATGAGAGTTAATAAACTATTATGTATTTATTCTATGCTTTAATGAAAGAGAATGCCTTATGTACGAAAATCAATAATAATCCATTAGTAAGTTAGTTTAGAAAAATCGGATTATCTAATTTTGTTTTTCGGTTGTTGTTTTTTTTGTCAACTGATTTCCTTCTTAAAAATTATTTGGTCAGTTTTATAATAAGGTGAATGTATAAAATTTAGAAACTCCACTTGTAGCTCTTCCAGAGTTACTCCCGGTCCCAAGCCTGGGTAATGGAGGAGAGTTTGGCATGGGGTTAGCGACCTCATCCCGTGGAAAACTAACTTGGTAAAAAAACGCTAACCAGAAAAAATTACTCAAACCTTTTAAACTCTGCCCTGGGACTTAGAAGGTCTTCATTTAGAAGAGTTATGACGCCTCATGATGAAAGTCGAGTTCCTTAGGAAGTCACGAGGCCGATGCCTCTTCTAACAACCAGACCAACCATTTATTTAGGTACATGGAATGCTCGTACAATGTGGGACACCGGGAGAGCCTTCCAAATTGCTACAGAAATGAGAAGATACAACCTAGAGGTACTTGGGATCAGTGAAACACATTAGACACAAGTTGGACAACAACGACTAACTACAGGAGAGCTCCTGTTATACTCCGGCCATGAAGAAGAAAATGCACCACATACACAAGGAGTTGCATTGATGCTGTCCAAACAAGCGCAAAATGCACTTATAGGATGGGAATCTCACGGACCAAGGATCATCAAAGCCTCGTTTAAAACAAAGAAAGAGGGCATTTCAATGAACATCATCCAATGCTATGCGCCTACCAACGACTACAATGAAGACGCTAAAGATCAATTCTACAATAGGCTGCAGTCAATCGTCGAGAAGTACCCAACAAAGGACCTGACCATTCTGATGGGAGATTTCAATGCAAAGGTTGGAACGGACAACACTGGATATGAAGATATCATGGGACGACACGGACTGGGAGAAAGAAACGAAAATGGTGAGAGATTTGCAAACCTATTTGCCTTCAACAAACTGGTCATAGGCGGCACCATATTCCCACATAAACGCATACACAAAACCACATGGACTTCACCGGATCACACTACACAAAACCAAATCGACCATATTTGCATCAACAAAACGTTCAAGAGGACGATGGAGGACGTGAGGACCAAGAGAGGAGCTGATATAGCCTCAGATCATCACTTGCTGGTTGTCAAGATGAAGTTGGAACTTAAGAAGCACCGGACAACGGGGTGGACAACAGCACAAGAGTTTAATACGGCTTTTCTTCGGGATACTAACAAACTCAACAAATTTAAGATAGTCCTCAGCAATAAGTTCCAGGCCTTTCATGATCTACTCAATGGAAAGTTACTTGATAGGGATAAAAGAAGCAATCACTTCAGCATGTCATGAGGTTCTGGGCCACAAGAAGCAACATCACAAGGGATGGATAACTGTTGATACATTGGATTCAAGAAAGAAGGCAGCATTCAAAACCAGACGAACAAGAGTAGAAAAAGCCAAGGCACAAGCTGAATACACAGAAGCAAACAAGCAAATGAAGAGGAGCATTAGAACTGACAAACGTAAATATGTAGAAGATTTAGCGATGACGGCAGAAAAGGCTGCAAGAGAAGGAAACATGAAACAACAAAGAGACTGTCTGGAAATCATCGTAAACCAGAACGACCAGTGAAAAGCAAGGAAGGCAAGGTAATCACCAACGTTGAAGAACAACGAAACAGGTGGTAGAACACGTCAAAGAACTCTTGAATCGACCAGCCCAACTGAACCCACCCAACATCGAAGCAGCACCCACGGATCTCCCAATCGATGTTGGCCCACCAACAGTTGAAGAAATCAGCATGGTCGTCAGACAAATCAAGAGTGGCAAAGCAGCAGGGCCGGACAGAATCCCAGCAGAGGCACTAAAAGCAGACGTAGCAGCAACTGCAAGGATACTCCACATTCTCTTTAATAAGATTTGGGATGACGAACAAGTACCAACAGACTGGAAAGAAGGACTACTGATCAGAATACCGAAGAAAGGCGATCTCAGCAAGTGTGATAACTACAGGGGCATCACTCTTCTCTCAATACCGGAAAAAGTCTTCAACAGGGTATTGTTAAACAGGATGAAGGACTGCGTAGACGCCCAACTTCGTGACCAACAGGCAGGATTCGTAAGGATAGATCGTGTACAGACCAAATCGCAACTCTACGGATAATTGTGGGACAATCAATTGAATGGAATTCATCACTCTACATCAACTTCATTTTAAAACAAACAAGGCAATATGAGTCAATAATGAAGAACATCTGGCACTCAAAAGAACTGACAAACAACACCATAGTCAGAATTTTCAATACAAATGTCAAAACAGTTCTACTGTATGGGACGGAAACTTGGAGAACTACGAAAGCCATCATCCAGAAGATACAGGTGTTTATTAACAATTGTCTACACAAAATACCTCCGATCCGTTGACCAGACAGTATCAGCAACAACCTTCTGTGGGAGAGAACAAACCATATTGAAGAAATCTCTCAACTGTGTCACAAGACAAGCCCTCGCTTGGAACCCTCAAGGCCAAAGGAGAAGAGGAATACCAAATCACACATTACACCGAAAAATGGAGGTAGACATGAGAAAAATGAACAACAGTTGGATAGAACTAGAAAGAAAGGCTCAGGACAGAGTGGTTTGAAAATTGCTGGTCGGTGGCCTATACTCCATTGGGAGTAACAGCCGTAAGTAAGTAAGTAAGTAAGTAACATAATTTATCCCACCTTAAGTATTATTGCTTACACATTATTCCCACGACAAATCAACTTAAGTACGACAAATATCACATCTAGAAGAAAGTGAAACACAGTCTATCTCTCACTCACTTTTCTTCTCTTCTTGAAAATTTATTTTTCTCAAATGAATAGAATAGAATATACAATAAGGATAGAAAAAGTGTTAATCACTAAACATATATCTAATTATATCATCATAGTACGCAAATATAGACCAATGTATTTAGGTTATGCAATCAATTTCTTTCTTTATGCTATTCAGAAGGTATTTGTTTTTACAAATTGCAATTGTAAAGTTTTAAAAGAAATAATTTACTTTATCTAATGTTATAATTTAGCTGGTATAAAAAAACATTTCGTTAATTCTGTATATATGTCTATGTATATATGTGTGGTTGTAACTTAATTCGATGATGAAGTAAACTTAAATGTCAGTTGATTGAAGAAAGTCACTAGGATACGCTAGAACTTCGGTTTTGTACTAGCTTCCCCTGAATATATGAGTTAACTGATGGGCTCCTTAACATTCGAGTCTGAATCACTTAGTTTCACAATTCGAGATATTACCAATGAATTATTTTGATATTACCTGACCTACCGTAGGAATAAGATATTTAGTCACTGTGTAATGATTGATGTCATATTTTAAGGGGTTTTGTGAATATTATAGTAATTTTAATGGTTGAGATCATGAGTCAATTGAAGCTAGACCGCCATAGAAAACCTGGAAGCACTGGACAGCCATTTCGTCCCATTGTGGGAATCCTCAGCAGTGCACATCCACGATCCCGTCTCGAGAGATTCCAAAGACCAAAGAACACATTACGCCGAGAAGTGGAGACAGACATAAAAGAATGAACAAGAATTGGATGGAACTAGAAAAGAAAGCCCAGGACAGAGTGGGTTGGAGAATGCTGGTCGGTGGCCTATGTTCCATTGGGGATAACAGACGTAAGTAAGTAACTAAATAAAGCCAGTCAACGGCTTAACTAAACCAACTAATATGCGATAAAAGATTGTTTAAAATTAATATAGAATCATGTAATGATAAAAGCTGACAGACAATTTTCAAGTTTATCTACTTAGACAAAGCATAATCTTGTGTACTTTATTCTTAAATTTGTTTAAATTAAATATTATAATTGGCAACTGTTTCATTATAAGTATTAACTAAATGACTTTCTTAAGACAATCACATGTTATGTTTTGAAGAACTTACTACCACCTATCTGACAATGCTTAAAAACAAATTTTAGATTGATGAACTCTAAGAATGTAAATAAAAAACATTATTTGTTTGGTGCCTGTTTTTTTTTTCATTCGTTCACTATTTAATGAAAAGGACTGAATGATGTTAAGTGACTAAAGTCAATCAACAGAAAGCTTCAGATCATCTGTAAGAATTTAATCAACACTTAAATGGCTCAGTTGTAGTATCTTTGATTGTGACTTTATATAGTAGGTTTCTGGATTATATAAATGTTAGATACGGGAGTATAAGTAAAAAAAAGTAGGATTTTGAGAACTAACTTACAGTGGATGATTACATATGCGTTTATGGTGTATTTACTAAATAATTGATTTACAGTATTTTGATATTCCTCTAACTGTAAGTCTTTTTTTCTCTAATTCGTGAAATGTTGACATACCCATCACGGTTCATAAATTACTATGTTTCTATTGCTCAGTTCTGTACCAAAAATGAACTAGTCATATACAAATTGTGATCTCCCGACAATGATGCGCTACAATTGTGTAACAAGTCTTCCTAAACTACAGTAGTAGTAGTAGTAGTAGTAGTAGTAGTAGTAGTAGTAGTAGTAGTAGTAGTAGTAGTAGTAGTAGTAGTAGTAGTAGTAGTAGTAGTAGTAGTAGTAGTAGTAGTAGTAGTAGTAGTAGTAGTAGTAGTAGTAGTAGTAGTAGTAGTAGTAGTAGTAGTAGTAGTAGTAGTAGTAGTAGTAGTAGTAGTAGTAGTAGTAGTAGTAGTAGTAGTAGTAGTAGTAGTAGTAGTAGTAGTAGTAGTAGTAGTAGTAGTAGTAGTAGTAGTAGTAGTAGTAGTAGTAGTAGTAGTAGTAGTAGTAGTAGTAGTAGTAGTAGTAGTAGTAGTAGTAGTAGTAGTAGTAGTACATAATAATGGATTTATCATACTCCCCAAATACTGCCTTTCTTGTAAGGTTTAAAATGCAGATATGTTCATTGGTTCAAAGGTCAATTTATCTATATCATTATGAGGTTTTTAAGATTGTTGAATTTGATTGAAATCCTAATCCAGTCACAGTTAGACAACCTTCGAAAATACGGAAACTTGGATACACTTGATGACTGTTTCGTTCTAGAATGGGTCTTCTAATCAGTACTCATCCACCACCCAAGTCTCGCGTGCGAACACTTAACCCCTAGACCACTGAGACGAGACCAAATAGAGTTCAATTGTGTTGGGCATAAAGAAGAGACGCGACGAAGACAATGGAAGATGATAGTGCAATATCGTGAGTTAGACTTGTTCACCAATCGATTTCAGGTCAAAGGTCTATAGTTTAAGTGTTCGCATACATGACGTCGGTCATGAGTGTCCACTGATCAGAAGTCTCATACTAAGACGAAACAGTCATCCAGTGTTACCAAATCTCCAGGTTTTCAATAGCTGTCTATCTAGAATCGGTTCGTGATTTCAATGATATATATATATATATATATATATATATATATATATATATATATAACAGGGAATCTAACTGCTACTGGAACGTATTGTTATAATCACTGAATTAGTTCAATCTCCCTAAATTACATATAATCAGTTGTTCAATTTTTTCCCTAGCCAGGATTTTCTCCACGCCATTCGACTAATTATTGATCAAGAACAGTTTATACTTCATATTTAGACTTTCTATGGCATAAATTGATCTTTTTTCACATATATATACTACTCTTTTTTCATAGAAAATTATTATTGATCGAATCAGATCAGGAATTTTTCTCAGTTACTTTGAGCGCATGCAAAAAAAAATCGAAGATGATGATGTGGATGATGATGATGATGAATAAACGAAAGATTGAGATGAGATGGGGATGAAAACGCAATATATAATCAGAAATAGTATGCTATAAGTATACAAACATTGACAAACATGAAATACTACTACCCTATTATCCTGATGAGTCGTGTTTCACTAAACAACACAAGAAAAATAATCACAAAGAAAACAGTATACAATCGAGAGAGAGAGAAAAAGAACACAAACAGAAGTTTTATTTATTCAAGCATGAGTACTATTATTATTATTATTATTATTATTATTATTATTATTGTCAACCATATTATTATTAGATATACACACGCTTATACTTCAGAACATACACCAGTACACATACGAACAAATATAGAGAGATATACCCAAACACTAACACATACTCACTGTCATTTATGGTGAAAGCATTTGGAGAGGGGATGGAGAGGCTAGACAGTGAATAACTTCATTGTCATAGATTTCTACTATCAAATGTCATGGAATATTCTGAATATGATTATTATTATTATTGTTATTCTTAATGACAGAATTGTAATATTATTCAATTATGTTTCATTCTATTCTGCCTTCCAAATTCATTTTATCCCATTTAATTTACATTATCATATACATACAAAAGTATGTTAATATTCTGTTCTTCTCTATTTTCTCAATATTTGTTTATTTTTTACTTTATATCACATACGGTGTTGTTGTGTTTGTTTGTTTGTTTCTTTCTTTGTGAAAATATCTAAATAACTAACTTTACAAATAAAACAAAGTCACTGTCAAACGAAAACAAACATTTCAATAGTTGAAATCATGAGTCAATTGAAGCTAGATCACTATGGAAAACCTGGAAGTACTGGACGTGGATGCGCACTGCTGAGAAGTCACACAATAGGACGAAACGGCCCTCAAGTGCTCCCAGGTTTTCAATGGTGGTCTAACATCAATCAGTTCATGATCTCAATCAAAAACTTAATAATCTCCACAACCCCTGAACTGATAATTACCATATGCTCACTAGTGACTAGCTTCGTGAGAAAATTCTCGGAGTTCTGGTGTGAAGCCGTGACAAGTGTAGCTAACCCATGTCGGTTAGAAACAGGTGTCTACCTCAGTACAATGGAAGATGATCGTGCAATTTCGTGGATTGGTTGAGGTTAGACATTAACACCATTGGATGCCGACTCAGTGGTCCAGTAGGTCAAGCGTTCGCGTGCGAGATTGAAGGCCCCGGGTTCGAATCCCGCGGGCGGATTCGTGGATGTGCACTGCTGAGGAGTCCCGCAATAGGACGAAACGGCCCTCAAGTGCTTCCAGGTTTCCAATGGTGATCTAGCATCAATCGGGTCATGATCTCAATCAAAAACTTAACAATCTCCACAACCCCTCAACTCTTAAACGTTTTTTTTTGGAAATTATAAGAAAATATTATCAGGTAGATAACAGTAGTACGAACGTGAAGACAGTTCCATTGTACGGAGCTGAAACGTAGAAAACTAAGACATCCGTAATCAAAACGGTACAAGTATTTATAAACAATTGTTAATACAAGATGCTCAATGTCCGTTGAACAGATACCATCAGCTACAACCTACTGTGGAAGAGAACAAACCAACTTCCAGCTGAAGAGGAAATTAGGAAAAGACGTTGGAAGTGGATAGGACATACATTACGCAAATCATCAAACTGAATCACGAGGCAAGTGCTAAATTAGAACCCTAAAGGGAAACGGAAAAGCGAAAGGCCGAAGAACTGAGTCGATAATTCGAAGCAGACATGAATAGAATGATTTATTTATTTTATTTGAACACAAATATTGGTACAAGAGTGCGCCAAATATATATGCGCCACACAAAACAATGAGAATTTAAAGACAAGGAAAAACAAGGTAAGGAGTGTAAAAAAAGAAGAGAACAATAACGAAGAGATTGGTGTAAGGTAGTGTAATAATAATAGTGGTAATAATGGGGGAACGGAAAGGTACAATCAGAAGACATCTTTCAGTTAAGGAAGATACAACCACTTTTTACGAAGAAAGTAAAAGAAGGTTACAGCAGGATCGCCACTGGCTTCTATTCTGAGTCATATCTGATAACGTCTCTAGCCACTGTGTAGCACCATCTCTCGGACCCCACCCAGGGAGTCGTGAAGGACCAACACAAGCCAGTCCTTTGCAGATTTCTTTCTTGCCACAACACCATGTCATGCACTGACCACCTCTCCGCTTTTTCCAACCAGTCCCAGAGTCGGCAAATAATGCACGACGTGGAATTCTCTGGGACGACATTCGTAGAACATGTCCAAGCCACCGAAGTCGATGCTTCAAGATGGTGACACCGATTGCATGCCTTGCGATAATGCCCAAGGCATGCAATCCGCACTTAATCGGTTGGCAATCAGTGTCCGTAGGTATGGTATGTGCTTTGCATCTTCGAAGTGCAAAGTACTTCTACAAGACTGGCAGGATTCTAATCCTGTACTCACCTTGGATGGTGAGCAGATAGAAGTAGTCGAGAAGTTCATGTATCTGGGTAGCTGTATAAGTGCTGGTGGGGGTGTGAGTGATGAGATCAATGCACGAATAGTGAAAGCCAGAGCGGCTTATGCCAATCTGGGCCATCTTTGGCGCCTTCGTGATGTTAGTCTGGCCGTAAAAGGTTGGGTCTACAACGCGTCGGTGAGAGCAGTTTTGCTCTATGCTTGTGAAACCTGGCCTCTCCGAGTTGAGGACGTTAGACGGCTCTCTGTGTTCGATCATCGTTGTCTCCGAACGATTGCTGACATCCAGTGGCAACACCATGTTAGTAATGCAGAGGTTCGGCATCGTGTGTTCAGGCACAGAAACGGTAATGCAATCGGTGTCACCATCTTGAAGCATCGACTTCGGTGGCTTGGACATGTTCTACTAATGTCGTCCCAGAGAATTCTACGTCGCGCATTATTTGCCGACTCTGAACTGTCTGTAATTATGGAAACTACTTTTCTTCCTTCGAATAGAATGAATAACAACTAGAAACAACTGGAAAGGATTACTCAGGATAGAGTTAAATGGAGAATGCTGGTGAATGGCCTATGCTCCTTCACTAGGAGTAACAGACGTATGTAATCAAGTAAGATGATATTATGACTGTTTTACATGATAGAAGTTAATACTATCAGATTTCACTATGAAAATGGCATTAAACAGTCAATAAGTTATCGGTCAATATTTATTTCAGTTAGTGTAATCCATATTCAATAACATTGATAGGTTATTGTCTTATTTAACATTGAATTAACTTCACTATTTTATAGAGTTACGATAAAACATTATGAAACTCATTATGAAGCTCATTGCTTACAAACATGGGTTGAATACTTATTTTAATGGGTTTTTTTACGATGTGGATATTGATTTTACGATGAATACAATGAGGTTCATTGTTCTTGCAATCTTTTCCACTCAGAAATTATTTCTTATTTGTAATGGTTTACACTTTCATCTTCTCATTTGGCATATGTGTATCATAAGTGGATTGGTTCTGTACTGTCATTTAATCACAAAGTTTTGTAAAAGTTAGATCATGAATAAGAATGGAATATAGAATGTTTATACACCAATAAAAACTGATTAACTACATTTCTTAGCATCAACAATGAGAAAAAAATAGAAATATTTCGAATCATATCATTGACTGAATTTGATAGCTTAATGTATAACGCGTTAGGATTTGAAGTGAATGGTGCTGGAGTCAAATGTCAATGTGAAAATGAACACCAGGATTGAGGTCTATGCAGCTGACGAGTTAGAACGCTTACCTTAGATTTCACTATTACCCAATATTCAATGATTTAAAAACGATTATTTTAGTGTTCAGCTCTAATATTGAAGTGATTTCTAATGATTAAAAACAATAGACATTAAAAGCAGTTTCTATTAAATCAGTTCTAAGGGTTTGAATATTCCGGATATTGACGTTAAAGTCTATAAGGATTCAGTCTCTTTTAGCATATGTGTATTCTGAGCGGATTGCCTATATATCTTCATCAAATTACAAGCATTTTGAGCAGAATTAGATAATGATTAGCGGTGAAATACGTGGTGCACGTTTTATCTTATTTGGAACTTTTTAGCTGTATCAACTCG